ACAACTGCTGTAGCCGCCGCTGTTCTGAGGCAGCTGTCCGTTCGATAAGAGCTTCTTTGAGACGGTCATACTGATCAGAGTCAGGAGGCTTTAGGACGAGGTCACATACCTCCATAGCTACTTCTGGCGAGAGAGAAGCGATGACATAGTCATATCTGGTTTTCTGAGAGGTGATCTTTCTGGTCTGGAATTGCGCTTCTACTTGAGCGAACCAGATAAGAGGATCGGCCGGCCAAAAAGGTGGTAGCTTGAGAGAGATGGAGGCTAGAGTGTCTGGACTAGGTGAGGTAGCCATGTTCCCAGTCCGGGTCACCAATGTAGTGTGATTGTATGACTGAATTAGTAGGATCACGAATATTCTTGACCAAATAATAAAAGAAGAGAGAGAGTTAGAAAGGAAAGAGGAAATGAAAGAAGAATGGGAATGTTTTAGAAAGAGTGAGAAAAAAGAAGTTACAACAAATGATAACAAACAAAATAGTAACATACACTCACACTACTAAAATAGTTCGATAAAATGTTTACAGTGAACGATAGAGATGAACAACGAATGATGAACGACGAATGATGAACGAACGATGAACGAACGAGACAAACGAACGGTAGTTACTCAGCTTCTCTTCAGATCTGTGTATATGTTCTTAACCACGTGTAACTATGTGGTTATAAGTCATGAATATTGAATGTGTTACTTAATCCAGGATATATTGAATGCATGAATATATTGACCACCACATGTTAAACTTTAGTCAAAATGAGAAAAGTATTAAATAACTCTTTTTATAACCATAAATAAACAAAAATAATTTGTAATTGTGGTAGTACATACTTGAGCATGTCTGTACACAATGACTTGCAAGTAACATGTAGCTTTCCATCCTTCAGAAGTCAAGAAACAAGGCTAAAACATAGCCTAATAGAACAGCCTTGAGACCACGCCCACCGACCAAAGTGCCAAAGAAGGCTTGAGAACACAGAAACATATCACCTTGGCTTCATAAATGTCTACTGTAGGTTCTACTTCTGTTATCCTATAAGTTTGAAGCTTGTTCTCCAAAAAGCAAGCAAGATATGGGAGAAAACTTGCCCCTTCTTTAAGTTGCTTTGAGACCACGCCCACTTCATTTCTCCATTGGTTTGTACAGCAGAAAAAAATAGAACAGTTTCTTCTTTTTCTAGGTGCTTCATACACCTTATAGCCACTTGTAATAGCTCTTTGGACTCCTCAGACATCTTGTGGAAAGATCTGCTGGCTATTTTTTGAGCGCATCAAGTGTGCATGAGATAGTTGGCCTTTTTTGCAGTCATAAATGACGACGATTGTTTCTTCGTCTGTAACACAGCAAAACAACTAGCTACCAGCTTATAACTTGGAAGTATAGCAAAAATGGGTTTGACATACCCTACAATACCTTTACTTTTTAGTCTTGCGGTGCTAGACCATGCCCTCTGAACCTGTAGGGTGGTCTGGAAAACTGCTCCTTATCAAACTTGTTCAAAGGCCCACTGTCGGCATGGTGAGTGAGACATATGCCAGTAATAAAAAAATTTAAGAGGTATAATTAATAAGGCGTGGCTAGGATAAAAATGGATGACTGCAGTACCTCTAGTAATATGAAAGATGTAGCTCAAGTTGTAGCTGAAGTGGCCATACTTTTGGATATAACCTTGAAAGAGAAGCAGTTAGAAGCCATAAGTAGTTTTTGAAAGGGTCTGATGTCTTTATAACATTGCCAACTGGATATGGAAAGTCTATAATACATGGTCTTTTACCATCTGTTTTTGACTGCTCTAAAGGTAAATAAAACTTATTTCATGATTTATTATTCCTTACTGTTATAGATTAGCAGGGCAGTATTGTCATGTGTAAGTCCACTAGTTTCTTTGATGATGGACCAAAAGCTAAGTTCACTCCTGGAGGTAGCAAAGCTGAGTTTGTTGGAGAGGAACAGACTGATGGCATTGCAATAAAACCAGTATTATCTGGTGCTATTGAGTTAGTCTATATTAGTCCCGAAAGTTTGCTTGCTAATTCTATGTTTCAGAACATGCTTGTCATTGAATTACAAGGAGAAATTGGTAGTTTTTGTTGTGGATGAAGCTCATTGTGTTAAATGTTGGTAAGTAATACATATACATAGCGATTCAAAATAATACTCTACTGACTTCTTAGGAGACACAAATTTCGAGTGGCGTATGTACAACTCAGTAATATTAGAAGTCTGCTTCTATCTCGTGAATGTCATGGCATTGACTGCCACAGCTACAAATGACACATACAAGGCTGTATGTCAGCGCTTGTCATGACACAACCCTGTCCTAATAGGCTTGTAACCCAATCGACCTAACATCAAGTATGAAGTAAAACCACTTGTAGACATAGATACTCTGTGTAAAGAACTTGCTGAAGGATTGAAGCTACAAGGACTGACATATCCAAAGACAGTTACTTTTATACAACGGTATTCTGATTGTGCATTACTCTACCATACACTTAGGAGAAAGTTAGGCAAACACATAACATTTCCACCTGGTTATCCACTATTTCAGCAATTATCATTGGTTGATATTACACCCATGCTTCTACTACTGGGCAGAAAGAGGTTTTGTTAGCATTTTGCCAGCCAGCAGAACACTTTGTGTAGTCATTGCCACCACTGCTTTGGTATGGGTGTTGACTGTGCTGATATACATGTCATTATTGACTGTAGTCCTCCTTCAACATTAGAGCAATATGCATAAGAAACAGGATGTGCAGGGCAAGACACCCAACCCTCCAATGCAAAACTACATTATGGAAAAATGGGTAAATTTGTCAATGAAGAGGTAAAAGATTACGCTAGCAATAAAACGACATGTAGAATATATACTTTGTTAAAAAACTTTGTTTTTCTACTCTAAATCATTAGTACAAAATAAAAGTTTATGTTGTGATGTATGTAGCTGTAGTTAATTTACATATTATTATTATTGATAGAAGTAATAATTTTATTGACGAATCATAAATAATATGACAGAGAGTATGAGTGATTTAGAAAACAATGCTTGGTATGATTCTTTCAATAATTCACTCTTGGATATCCTCATTATTAACTCTCTCAAACAGAGGAAGTGAATTTGAAATAAAGGCATGTCTTCCTGGGATAATGTCAAACAATCTTTTGTCTCGAAGAATTTTAGTTAGCATTTTTAAATCTTTTGAAAATGAAGGCTTGTCATGAATGTTTGAAGCATCATCCACAGTAAGGAATCTCTGAACGACTGACATATCTCATTAACAGTACCCAAGGCCCTTGCAACTCTAGCAATAGAGGATGGCTTATATTGGACTACATATTAGAGATCACACTTTAATCTCCTATTTAGGTGTTCAAGATGGAGGTCATGAAACAAGTTGCACCCATGTCTTCCCTTAGTTTTAACAGAGCGGCTGGCTAGTAATTGGGCAGCAGTTCTTTTAGAGCTAGAATAATGGTAGCTAATTAAGAGCAATGCGGATTCTTTAGCCCAGTTCATATGGTTTGTTTCTTGAAAATTACCATCAAGTACTTCCAAATCCTTAATACTCTTTTCCCATCTCCCTCCTTAATAGCATCGTAAAAATTCATCCAAATCATTCCTAATGTCATTACCTCATGAGCATAGGTGCACACAAAATCATCATTTGTATTTTGACCTACATAAAAAATATTTGTACTATTTTTATTATTTATTTAATATACATGTCTTACCAGCAGATTGTGATGATAACTTAATATATTTCTTCACAGTGACATCTACCAAATCCTCCAATTCCATTCCTTGTTTGTACTCTGTATTGGCTGCAACAATAATGTGAGACACTAGTACTAGTTCAAAAAAATCTTCTGTCAACTTCATGTTATCTTTTGGATCATTGGGAACAGATGTCCTGTTTAACACATTGTTCAAGTGGAATAGTGTCCCTTTATCAGTTGCTGATTTATTTCAATACAGTTTAGTCCAAATCACCTAGGATTTGATACATATAAATAAAATTGGCAAGTGACATCACC